TAACAAAACAGCTATTTACCAAACACTTTTACACAATCAGCTAATCATAATCAGCTAGTCAAACCAGCTAATATAACCATCTAGTCAAATTAGCTAATACAATCAGCTACCAGCTAATTACCAAATAGGCCGCCCCAAATCAATCCATTATAGACCAAAGTAGACATCAAATTACAACAATAAAAAAATTAAATTAACTAGATTATATTCTCTCAAAAAAGAAAAAAAAAGTATTCAAGATTATATCAAATCAAATCAAATTAAAAACATCCATTATAACATTCAAGAGAATAATTATATCAGATCAATGAAAGTCCAATGAACTAAACACATCAGATGTGCATAATTAGCTTTTTTATGTCAATCTTTCAACTCAATATATCATTAATCTTTTAATAGGAAAAAGTTTTGTCCATTTGGTACTTTTTGGATCATGATTGACTAACATCAAATTGCAATAAAAAGTTTGCTGATTTTAATTTTCACTCTAAATTTGAACTATTAGGCTTAGACTTTCCTCACATCATGGGAAAGTAGGCAAGCTAATATAGCTGTATTAGCATACAAGTTAAACATATACAAGTACAACACTACACCAAATAGATTGGTAGTATGACTAGTATCATCAAGTGTGAATTGAGTGTGAAGCAGCAACAACAGCAGCACCAATGCCGGAGGCATCTTTAAACTGCTTGAGAACGACCATCTTCGATACTTCTTCATCGAGCAACTCCTCAGCAAGAGTTTTCTGCAGGCATGATTTAAACTTTTTGTATGTGCCAAACAATGACCCATCAATAACAACTACAGTCTCCTCTGTCTTGGTTATGTCTTTGCCTAACCTCTTCAGGATTGCCAGTATAGCAGCAGCAGCAAGTCGAGCCCCTCGTGTAGCTACATATCACATATCTTGACAACAAGCTGCTTCCTCTCCAAGGATATGTTGGTTATCTAAATATCAGAAGAATGACAATTACAATAAGAGTTGATTCAGAAATCCAAAATTTTCTGTTTTGCTTCTTTTGATCATAAGCATACATGATAAAAATCTCTATAATTAGGCGATGTAGGCCTTAAACGATCCCTGGTGTAAGGTTCATAGAAAAATCCAAGGACTCTTAGAAAATAACCAAACTTAAGTGCATCGAGCTTTCGTTTCAGGATTCCATTGCAATTTCAAACTCACATTTTACAGCAATGTCATTTGACTTAATAGGACTGAATTTAATTTGCACTTACAAAACTTGCTTTAGAGTTTGGGAGGACATTGGTCAAGTATTTTTAAATATGGCACAGAATTGTATTTTATAGTTGTCCTTTTCACCTTAACAAGAAAAGGTTTCAGGAAAAATACGATACACTGTCATTTACAACTAAAATAAGTCAAGATAAGATCAAATCATTGCTTTTCAAGTCAAATAACAAAGCTTTAATCATCATTACCCAGTACTCATGTTTATATAATGTAGTCGCATCGTGTCCAGCATGAGTGCAGATTGCAGAATGAATAATTTGCAATAAGGTACATGCTTAGGGACAAAGGAGTACTAAGAAACAGGGAAATGTGCGAAAAAAAAGAGATTTTCCATCGTAAAATGTTTGCATAATTGATAAGAAGTTTATACCTCAATGATCTCCTCTAGACATTTCCCAACCACACTTAAGTCAGTGGATTTGTCACTATGCATCGCTACCACATTATACGTCCTGCATTCCAAAGTGAAAGACTTAGGCGCAAAATATTGGAACCACATAATATGACAGTACAATTATATTTGTCCTGGTAAAAGGACTGAATGCAATTTCCTCACATACGCCAGTATATAATGCTGTCGAAGTTTTGGAGGAGTTCTGTCACCAAAAAGCGCAGCATCATCAGCTAGTCGCTGCAAAATTCTACGCACAATTTCTCCCAAATATCTACCAGAAAGCATCTTTTCTAGAATCTGATAGATAATAGTGATTTGAAGGTTTTAGAATATGAAAGATTATCAATTTAACCATAAGAATTCAGAATAAATACAGTTGTGATAATTACCTGCTTGTGGTGGTTTGGACTATCATAGTCTAATTCATGATCGTAGTCAGTTAAAGGAAGAAGTGGAGAGTTAAAATTACCCCATTCTGTGTTAATAACCTACATCTGACACAATTAGTAAATCATCCAAACCAACTGAATCAAGTTATCTTCTGTAACTCGGGAAGAAGGTAATGTTACCATCTGTCCTGATTCTGGTGGAAGACCATACGCCTTTACAATTGTTTTCAGACTGTTCTACATAAGCTGCATTAGTTCCAGTACCCAATACTACAGCTGCAACAACATTGTTGTCGCAAAATCTTCCTCCAGCCAAAGCACCAACAGTATCATTGAGCTGATTAACATATGCAGGTTAATTAGCAACTCTGAAGTTCAGAAGGGGAAATTGCAGAATACTAGAATAGTGGACTGGTGTACAGGTAAAATAGGAGATTAACTTACCAAAGCAGTGACATTAACATTAATAGCTTGTTTCTCTAACGCCTTTGTCAATTCTTTCACCACGTCTTTACCAATCTAATATCGTTCAGATCATAAAGTGTCAGGTTGAAAAGTTCATAAACCAAGCAAAATAAGTTTAGATGGACATCAAGCAACTATATTGGTAGAGCTGTCTTCTTCGAAAATTCAAAAATTAGCATTCTAATGATCATGTTTGTTTCGTTAGACATGAACACTATTTTATCAGATTTAGGATTTGTAACATGCAGATGAATTGGAAAGTGCCACTATCAAGAAAAGTCAATAATAAAGTCCAGAAGACTAAAACTACTTTTAGTACTTAGATGTTGTGTACTCAAGGCCGATGTGTAAATAACTAAATATACATATTCTTCCATTCGGAGTTAATAGTCACGTATTAAGACATCTGGTAAAAAAAATGAATATCATAATAGAGATACGACTACTAAATTGTTATAAATATAACGAAAAGTAAAGTCACTTTTATTATGAAGGGTTGGGACAATGTGACAACTAATTTTAGGAGGACGGATATTTGTTGATATAGATGCTTTCAGCATTTTAGAATGATCAACTACTCACTAGTCATTATACTGAACAAATTTCACTGAACTACTGAAGCATAAGAGACTTACAGCATCTTGCACATCGAAGTCCTTTGTCCAATTAAGGAGAGTCCCGGAGTTTATCCTTGTTTGTTGTACTGGGAATGAGAAAGTAAACCCGAGTTCCCTCTTCTTACCAGGTTGTATCTCCGAATCAGAATCCATTTCAATAACTTGAGAAACTTTCTCTGCTATATAATCAAAGAGTTCCTGAAATCAGAAATCTGTCAACTTTCTGAGAAAGCATAGCTTTAGTTATAGCACAACATTTCATTCAAGACGAGAAGGGAGATAGATTTTACTTACATGTAACTTTCCAACCTTAATGTTTGGAGGCACCATGTAAGACTCGGATTTTAGATCAATGGTCCTATCTCCTTGCAATTTAACACGCATCACACGAAAGTTCGTCCCACCCAAGTCCAATGCATAAAAGCATCCCTTTTCATGACTGAAAGGCAACAGCCACAAGAACACTGCCTACATTACTACATACAGAATCAAACAGCAAGGAAGACATCTTTACTGACATCAAAATCAATTCATTAATTTAAAGTCATATGACATGTACACATGAAAGACGATTTTAATCTTGAATCCTGCTCCACACTATAGGAAGCACATATTAGGATAATTTTAGCAAATTTGTAGTTCCTTGTCTCATATCAATGGTTTTTCTTCTCAGTTTAGCAACATTATTGTCAAAGCCATTGCTGTCATAAACTCATAACCACTAGTACACACACGCGCACACGCACACACGTATTCAGATTTTAATAAACAAAACCAAGTGACTAACAAAGAAACATCAAATCCACCCACCATCAACTCATCAAATTTCAGAAAATGGTTGTCATATGTCCACAACATGTAAAAATAATGCATGTTAGACTAGATTTTTCAATAGAATGAGGTGACAGGGTTGTTTGGATCAATTTCATTCAATTTTAGTTTGGTTTGTGTGTAATTCTACTAAGGGCTTGTTCTGATTTACTGAACTGACTGAACTGAATTGATTGAAGTTGAGCTGAACTGAACTGAATAAATGAATTGTTTAGAAGAAAAAGAAATTAAAAACTGAACTGAACTGAAATTAAGCTGAATAGAACAGACCCTAAGTAACTATGATCAGTGAGTCATTTGATTCATTTTAAGTCAAACCAAATTCAATTCAAACAATTGAATAATGATCACCTACCCACTATACCTCTTCATTCATCCAATTAGTTCATACACTCACCCACCTTTTTACTCATCTTGGTACACTTTATTTACCTTTTTCTTACACTCAATTCACTTTTTTTTCGTTCGTTTTTCCTCGATTTTCGAATTAGAGTTATTACTAGTGATGAATTACAAAAATTTGTAAATATTACTTGATACAACTAAAAACAAAAGAAAAGTTAAAAAAAAAGTACCCAGAAGGTAGGGAATCAACATAAGAAACAAGCATTTTGATAGAACTAGAATCTTCATCTTCTAAACCCTTTCTCATCATCAATTCCATTTCATTTGCCAACTGCTTCAGCAATTCAACTGATACCCAGAATTCTTCTTCTATTTTCTTCACCATTTCCTCTAATCTCACCCCATTTTTTACATTTTCACAATTACTCATCTTTTTTTCTTCAATTTTTCTAAGCCTTTCTTTTTAGCTCTTTTTAGAAAACCTTCTTAATGCATTTGATTCCCTAATATTTGTATAATTGTATGTGAACCTTTTTTGGATGTATTGTAATTAAAAAATGGCAACTGCATTGAATTATAATAATGGGGCGGCAAAAACAAAGGATGGAAGATGGTGGCTGCAAAATTCATGCAACAAAAACATTAAACAAAGACTTAGGCCTTGTTTGGCCTCTTTAATCATAAAAAGAATAATATTCTGTAAAAATAAGTTTTAACAAAAAATAATATTCGGTAAAAATAAGTTTTAACCGAGTTACAAACCAGAAGTCTACTGGGATCAATGCATAAAAACATTTAGAGGGAGCTTGTCCAAATATGAAAGCTATTTTTTTTTTTCACAAGCAATCACATATTAATACAAGAATTTGATCGTCTCCTCTAACAAATTCAATTTAAAAAATCATATCATAATGAATGGACAAATTAAAGATAACTGCATTGCATTCACTATATAATCTGGGAAAATAATGGTTTAAATTGTAAAAAGAAATTTTTTGTTACAATTAACAGCAAGAATTATTGAACAGCATTAATATATACTAGACTAAACCCACCAAACAAATACTAGTATTATAAATCGTAAATCGAGTGTGAAGCAGCAACTACAGCAGCACCGATGCCTGAGGCATCTTTGAACTGTCTAAGAACAACCATCTTTGACACTTCTTCATCGAGTAATTCATCTGCAAGAGTCTTCTGTAAGCAAAGTTTGAACTCTTCGTATTTCCCGAACAATGACCCATCTATAGCAACTACAGTTTCCCCTGCACTTGTTTTGTCTTTGCCTAGCATCTTAAGGATGGACAGTATTGCAAAAGCTGAAAGTCGAGCACCTCGTGTAGCAACAATTTCACATATCTTGACAACTACCTTCTTCTTCTCCAGGGATATATTGGTTATCTAAATTTCAAAGAAATGATTATCATAATGGAGTTAGATGGTGGAAGAATCGTATTTCATTTGCATCTTTTGATTACAAACATAATGTAATTTCTCCAAACAAATTAAAGTTAATATGCACAAAATAAATCTGTTTACTGAGCAGACAAAATCAACCTTTCACTTGATCATTTTACACAGTTAAACATAAAATTCAGAAAATTTTGTGATATTGATCAAGTATTGAGATACAGAAATAAGATACACATTAATCAAAACTCAATAATGCTTCAATATCACAAATATTTTATATTTTATTGAAGTACTTCAATAAACACAATTATCAGCAAAAATATAGTTCAGGTAAAAGCTACTAAGTTCAATTTACCAATCCAAATAAGTTTTCGCATGTTCAGATTTTTCAAATAGAAAAACGAATTACCTAAACATTGCTTTAATATGATGTGGTCGCATCATGTCCAGTATGGTACAGAAAGATGAATGAATGACTTGCAGTAATAGTAACAAAGGTGAACATGCTCAGGGAAATCAGTTTTACAAAACTAGAATGAATATACTAGTATAAGTATAAATACCTCTAAAACCTGCTCTAGGCTTTTCCCAACCACACTCAAGTCTGTGGACTTGTCACCATGCATCGCGGAAACAATATCCGTCCTGCATTAACCACAGTGAATTAGACCTCAAAAATATGTTGCAACAAAATAAGATGAAAATTTGTCCACAAAAAACATTGATTGCATTTCACACACATACCCCAAAACATAAGGTTGTCGAAGTTTTGGAGGAACAATGTCACCAAAAAGCGCTGCATCATCAGCTAAATTTAGCAAAATTCTCCGCACAATTTCTCCCAAATATCTACCAGATAGCATCTTTTCTAGGATCTGAAACATAATGTTGATTTGAATTCTTCAGCAGATGCAAGATTACCAATTATTTGATCATCAAAATACGCTTACTATAACAATCACCTGCTTGTGGTGGTTCGGACTATCACTGTCTAATGCACGATCATAGTCAGTTAAAGGAAGAAGAGAAGAATTGAAATTGCCCCACTCCGTGTTGATAACCTATGTTTTAATACCCAAAACAACAACCATCTCAATACAAAGATCAACACAGTTTTTTGTAAAGTAAAACTCAGGAAAATGAAGGTAAAGTTACCATTTGTCCTGATTTTGGTGGAAGACCATATGGCTTCACAATGCGTTCGGACTGTTCTACATAAGCAGCATTCATACCGGTACCCAAAATCACGGCTGCAACAACATTTTTGTTGTAAAATCGACCTCCGGCCAAAGTGCCAACAGTATCATTGAGCTGGTAACCATATAGAAGTTAGCAACTTCTGAAGTTCGGAAAAGAAAATTTTGACAGAAAATTTAGACTGATAAAAGTAGTAGTTTAACTTACCAAAGAAGTCACATTTACATCAATAGCCCGTTTCTCCAAAGCCTTTGACAACTCCTTCACCATGTCTTTGCCAATCTAATCAGTTTAAGATGATCAAATGTCAATTCAAATGCTCATGAACCAAGCAAATATTGGATGAATAAAAATAAAATAATGGATGGGATAGAAGTATAGAACTATCAAGCTCTCTGTGCCGAGTCATCCCCCTCAATGATGCAATTAGTTACTATTCAGGCTACAACTATGATTTTCACATTTAAGGACCCATATATAGAATTCGAATGCAAGCAGTGAAGAAGTACAAAGTAGATATATGAAAGCAAACGTGTACCAATAGGCCATGCATGCCCGAAATACACTTCCTTCTTAGTTTTATCTTATCCAAGGAACTTACTACTTAAAAGTTACAAGCTTTCAACTAGTTACTACATATAAACTAGGATTTATCAAACAGTTTCAGACAAAATATACCGACACCTGAGACCTCTTTATCAACAAGTACCATGAAAAACTCTAACAAACCAACTGGGCAATCACTAACATCATGATATGTAGGATAAATATTAGCTATTTATAAGTTATTCTAGGGGGGCCAAACTAAACATTACATATATCACCACTTGGGCCATGGGGGGCGGGGCCTCCACCAGCCCCCCTGGCTCCGCCCATGTATACAAGTCCAGGGACCTGAAACTCATACCAGATCCATCACCTATAACTGTTACAGCTAGACTAATGCAGACCAGTGAACTATAACACATACTTCATGCTTGCTTATAGAGAAGCATGATCAAAGGCACTCACATGAAACATTCCACATAAAAATTGATATAAATTCCCTTGATTTATGACTGTGTCAAACTGGCTGTAGAAGTAGAAGCTGTGGCATGCTTGGATAATTCTTAGACTTTAGGCTACATAAAAAGCATGATGCAACATTTCAAAATGCATTATACGGCCACATTGCTTCCGGGGGAAAAAAAAAAAAAAAAAAAAAAAAAAAAAAAAAAAAAAGAAAAAACTGTGTCCAGAAAATATATTATTGTTTATAATTTTCTGCCACATTCTAATCTCATTTGCTAGTATTTCTAATGCCAGACATTTCATATTTACAGCCTTTCAGCCAAATGCATGTAGCTGAACATGGTACATTGGAACGTACAAAAAGGCATAAGAGACTTACAGCATCTTTTGCATCGTAGTCCTTTGTCCAATCAAGGAGAGTTCCAGAGTTGATCTTTGTTTGGTGCACTGGGAATGAGAAAGTAAACCCAAGCTCCCTCTTCTTACCAGGAACAGTATCAAAATCAGCTTTTACCGATTCAAAAACATGTGAAACTTTTTCCGCAATATAATCAAAGAGTTCCTGAGATCAGAACTAAACGTCAATGTCTGAGATAATAGAACTATAGTAATTTAAATCAAACAATTCCCTCCAAAAGAGAAGGGAAACTGATTTCACTTACATGTAATTTCCCAATCTTTATCTTAGGAGGCACCATATAAGACTCGGCCTTTAGTTCAATAGTCCTATTTCCCTGCAATTTAACTTGCATTACACGAAGGTTTGTCCCACCCAAGTCCAATGCATAAAAGCATCCCTCTTCATGGCTGAAAGGCAACAGCCACAATAACACCACTCACATTACATTACTACATAGTACATACAGGCATGCAGTATCAAACAGCAAGGGAGACAGAAATCGTTAACATTGTCAATCAAATACTTAGTCTCAGAAAATTGAATTTATGAGGAGTGTAGCATAGCAACAAGACAGCCATTTTAACAAGTAAATACTGTGTTAGCAACTTTGTACTACCTGTTCTTACTATAATTGTTTCAAATCTTACCTTGGATTATCCAGCTTTAAATGTACTTTTCATTTCACAATTACAATTACTATTTTACATGAATAATAATATTATATACACCGTATCTATTACTTTTCTACGTAGTCATAGGTTCATCGAGATTAAAGTATTAAACTTAAGCATTTTTAAACACTTTAAATCGTTCTACTTTATTTTATTTTTTTTCCTTTCAACATTAGTCATAAAAATGAGACATCTGAAGTATTCAGCGACACTTTGTATCAGATGGCAGCAATTATAATATCAAACGGTGCCTAAAAGACAGTCACTGACCTATTATCTACCCACTTACCGCACAGCAAATGGAATTGTTAACTATTTGAGACTAAATATAACAAATACATTATTTAGTATTAAACATTTGCTGGTATAAGGGGTAGGTCAGTAGGTGTTGCTAGGTTGAGTTATAGAGAGCTGTAAAAGCAATGATGCGATTAGTTTAGTACCCGAGTCCCACACAATCATCAAGAACCACAGAAGCAATGATGCAACTAGTTTAGTACCTAAGTGGCTAAGGCCCACACAATCACCATCTCAAGACCTTACTTAGGAGGCTGACATCATTAAAAATCATTGATGTATGGCATTGCAGCTTGTTGATGATTTATTATGTTTTCCAATAGTTAACAAGCATATGCAATCACTTAATTACCAAGCAAATTAAGTAAACCTCATAATTTAATCCTATTTGGTCCACATTTGCTAGAACCTTGTCTCTAAAATTAGAATAGAGAGGACAAAAGAGACTCATCTAACATTATTCTCATCATATATAGAATAATGAATATTTTTACCTATTAACAGGAACATTACATATGATGTCCTTGTATTTTGGCTTTTCCATAAGATGGACATAGATTTGCTAAATTTCACATGATACCCTTTGATCATTGACCTCAGTTTATAAGGCAAATCTTGTATCATTTCCCTAAGACCCTAACATCCTCTAGACGCAAATTGAATCCTAAACTTGGGAGCATAATGTGTATCATACTCCCTGTAGAGCACATCACAACCTCACATGGCCAAAAAAATCATTGATGACATATTCTGGAAACTACAGGGAAACAATTAAACAAATGGCAGAGATATATGGCCATTGAGTAATGGAATCTTTGTATATAATTATTGGAAAATGATTGATGGTGTTAAAGAGTTTAGGCGGCGAAAAGCAATCAAATTCAATTAGATTACCAAGCAACAAAGGTTGCCTGCAATTAACCATCAAATATATATTGGACATCATATGAACATAGAAAAATAATATGGTCCACCATATAAAAAAGTCTGAAACACAAGAGCACCAATGTATGGTTCATGATATGTTATAATCTAAGCTATAAAATATCCACCGTTAAGGATCTAAATTCTATAATAGTACAGTATGCTTCATAAAAAAATTTTAATAATAATATTGAATAACTAAAATTGTTTGACAATCTTTATAATGGCATGCTTTGTCATCATAGCATGAACAATCACCCAAAATTAAGCGTGCAGTAAATCTTCAAAACACAAAATTTTAGGTGATTCAAAAAAAAATAAAAAATAAAAATCTCATTTGAAGATTTTTAAATAACCATTAAATTTAAACATCGTTAGCTAGTGTACTCAGAGTGTAGATACACAATAAACGATCTCACAACTCACAAGACCATGTTACATTTCAACTTAGGAAAAACCTTTGGCTTATTTGTGAATAATCCAACCTTTATACCCAATTCGCTCAAAGGTAGAATCATTTCGGAAAATTTTTCCTTTTAACTTATTTTGTTTAATTTGTATACATTGTCACACAGACACACACCATTTGAAAGTATTTTCTTTTGGGGTCAATGTCAATTTCACATATGAAAAACAATAATCCATAATAACATTAATAAGCTAATAACATTTCATCATCAATGTAATGTAAAAACAAAAAAAACAAAACAAAACAAAAAATAATTGAAAAGAGAAGATTGAAGAAAGGAAAGATACCCAGAAGGGAGAGAATCAACATAAGAAACAAGCATCTTAATAGAGCTAGATTCTTCATCTTCTAGACCTTTCTGCATCATCAACACCATATCATCACTCAACTCTTTCAGCAATTCAACTGGTACCCAGAATTCCTCTTCTATTTTTTTCACCATTTCCACCAATTTTTCACCATTTTTTACATTTTCACAACTACCCATTATTCCTTTTAATCTTTCTGAAAAATCCCTCTTTTTATTTCTCTCTCTCTTTCTAATTTTTGTGAATGAATTAGCAGAAATTTGGTAGTGTTAATTAATTATATATAAGTAACCAGTTTTGGGCTATCGGGTGAAAATTATTATTATTAATACAAAACGGTGGCAACTGGCATGGAGTTGTTGACAAGTTTGTACTGAAAATGATGTATAATATAAAGTCTAGATCTGTGGCTTTTTGGCAGAAACAAAGGTTGAAAATGGCGGCTGCCAAAAAAACCATGTTAGAGAAAAATACAACTACACGTATTTGGTAACTAATTAGAATGTGACCGTTTATGAAATATCAACTCTATCCTCTAGTCTCCTTATTTGGCTACTTATGTTGTTGATTTGTTGTATGACTTTTGTTTTATTACTCCCTAGTCCGTATTATTATTGCATATTGGATTATTGACGTTCAATTTTTTATTTTTTATTTTTTTATTTTTTTTTATTTTTTTCTTTTGACAACAGCAGATTGCAAAAAGGGAAAACAGGAAATAAAACTAATGACAAGGTTGCGAGAAGGACATACAAAGTAACCTAAATTGATTGGCTAGTTGGTGAGCTTGTTTTACCTCATCTCGATTTACCTTTAGGATAACACATTGATGAAACGGGGAGGCAGTGCTGCGAATCTCCTTTAGCGTCCAGCGAGAATCCATGTTAGCTAGCTTCCCATTTGATAGGGAGTTAACTAAGGCTGTAGAGTCTGTGTAGATAGAAATCGAGTGCAGACCATTAATAGAGCTCCATTTTAGAGCTGACAGGCAAGCAATGGCTTCTGCATGAAAGGCTGAACTTGTTAAACCGGAGTTCCCTCCAACCCCTATTTCAGCTTGGCCGGGGGTTTGGGAAAAGGTCCACCCCGTGCCGTAGGGTCCAGATTGCTTGTGCCAGGACCCATCCATTCTGACTACAGGCATTGTTTGGCTGCCCCTATAGGATTGGCAAAGAAAATCCTTGCCGATCGAGACCTGTAGGAAACCAGGTGGTACAGGAAGATCTAGGTGGTACATCGAGACCTGCAAGCTTACGAACATCCGGCTTCAAGTAGTTCTTAAGAAGATCAAGTGCCAGAGTGAGGTTAGTGAAAAAGGCTCTGAGATAGCCATTGTCCCCTTCAAAGACCCTCTTGTTTCGAGTCATCCATAAGGACCAAAGAGTGGCCACAAATTTTTGGGTTCGGCTACGATGAACCCCATCCTGGCTATAAAACAGCAGGATATAGGTTTGAATCCATTCTTGTATCGAAATAGATCCATTTAGTTTTTTACAGCTCGGAATGCCACAATTATCCCAGGCATTCCGGGATATAGAACAGTACAGAAAAAGATGTCTATCATCCTCGAAATAATTACCACAATAACCACAGATCCCATTCGTATGCATCCCTCTAATCAGAAGGTTCCCATTTACAGGTAAACTATTAGTTGCCAGCTTCCACAAAAAAATGCGCCATTTAGGAAGGATATCAAGGTGCCAGATAATCTTGAAAAAATCAAAAGTTTCCTTCCTATGCAAGGGCTCTGAGGTCTCAAGGAGACCTGCAAGAAAAGCATAGCCAGACTTGACCGTATACTTCCCCGAGGAGTGGTGGTGCCAGTAGAGAAAGGCTTCTTCTTCCATCACAGGTAGGTCAACAGAGAGAATTGCTTGAGCACTCTGCCACTCAAAACGATCCCTAACCATACTGACATTCCAACTTCTAGAGGTCTGGTTAATAAGATCAAAAACAATCCATTTAGAGCTCTGGAGCAAATTTTGGTTGGACTTAACCACCAGGGTTAACCCATGGACCCATTTGGAGCTACTGGCTAGGATATTTCTTCCTGAGCCAATCTTCCAGACAAAGCCTTTCATGAATTTGAGAGCAAGTTTGTGCATGTTTCGTCTAACCCACGAGAAACTGGAGGGAGTCTTAGCTTGAGATTTTCCCGAACATAGCATACACTCACTACTTGCATTATACATTTTAGATGCAAGAAGTTGGGGATTTGTATGCATTCTCTGTATTTGTTTGAACAGCAAGGCATCATTGTAAACATGAACCGAACGAATTCCCAGACCACCCATACCTTTCGGAAGTTGAATAGTTTGTCTATTTACCCAGTGAATACCTTTGTCACCATTTTTTGCCCACCACAATCTTGTTATCAGGGACTCTAACTTACTTGCAATAGACAGAGGGATCTTGAAAGATTTCAGCACATGCGAGGAGATTCCTATAAGGACAGAGTTGATAAGGATTAATTTGGCACCCTCGGAAAGCTTGTAGTGAGCCTAGGAGATAATCTTCTTTTTGACTCGTTCAATCAGATAGGTAAAATGTTGAGATTTTGCTCCCATAAGGTCAATAGGAACCCCAAGATGATTCTTATTACTGTCAACTATAGGGAAACTGAGAATACTTTTGAAGGTTTCTGCCATCGAAGAGGTGACAGATGGGCTAAATTTAACATAGGATTTGCTAAAATTAACTTGTTGTCCAGAGGATTCTCCGAATCTAAATAGAATATCCGCTATAGTAGTACATGATTCTGGGCTAACTTTGAAGAAAAACATAGCGTCATCCGCAAAAAAGAGATGCGAGATTGAAGGTGCTCTTCTCGAGATTTTGACACCTTGCAGCAGCTTGATATCTTCTGCTAAAGAGAGCATACGGGACAAGACATCCATGCAGAACAAAAATAAATAAGGAGATAGCGGGTCACCCTGTCTTAAACCACACTTGGGCTTAAAGGAATCTGACACCTGTCCATTAACCAATGCCCGGAAAGAAACTGTAGAAATACACTGAGAGATCCATTGTATCCATTTTGCTGGAAAACCATAGGCCTGCAAAGTTTTAAGTAAAAAGAGCCAGTCTACTTCGTCGTAGGTTTTAGACATGTCCACCTTGATAGCAGCTAGATGAGTGGACCGTTGTCTCGAGTTAATGAATTGCATGAGTTCCTGTGACATAAAAATATTATCCTCCATTTACCTTCCAGGAATGAAGGCATGTTGGAAATCGGAGATAAGAGAAGGAAGAACGAGCTTGAGTCTAGAAACAAGACAATTGGCAATACATTTATACATAGTGTTGCACAGACTTATAGGTCTAAACTGCGAAGCCGTTTCCAGAATGTCCAGTTTTGGGATCATGACAAGGAGCGTTGAATTCAGCTCATGTCAAAGAAAACCTGTGTTAAAGAAGTGTTGAACGCTTCCGACAACAGTATCACCCACTGTATCCCATAAATTATGAAAGAATTCCGCAGTGACTCCATCAGGGCCCGGAGATTTGGAGCCCTTTATATCAAATATCGCTCTTTTGATATCCTCTGCCTCAAAGGACCGAACAAGAGCTTCAGAATCAACGGTTGAAATAGTAGGAAAATGAATTTGCCGGAGGAGGAGATCAATAAGTTCACTTTTTTGAGCAACAACAGGGGGAGCAAAGACATCCTTTAATGAATTAACAATTAAATTCGAGACTCCCTCCTGACCTACTACCCATGAATCATCATCAACCCGGAGCGTAAGAATTTCATTTCGAGATTTTCGTTGCTTCACTTTGTTAAAAAGGTGCTTTGTTGGAGCATCACCATCTTTGATCCAATCGCATTTAACCTTTTGTTTCCAATATTGAAAGTCCACAGTGCACTTTGGAATACAAAAATTAATGCGTTGAATATAAATATTACCATCATCAAGGCAAGTAATATCACTCCCATAATCTGCAAGATTCAAAGAGAGCTTCCTCCAATTCACACCCCAAAGATGTTTGTTGTCTAAACACCATTTTTGAAGAGTACTTCTAATCATCCGCAACTTTCTCATTAAGCAAAAGGGAGGAGAGCCTTGGGTCGGTGAGTTCCACCCATTGGCCACTATATCATGAATTTTCGGAAAACCAAGACACCATAGCTCAAGTTGATAGGGTCTTGTAGATCGAGTTTGAAGGGGGTTTGAGTTATAAACAATAGCGGCATGATCCGAAACCACTATTGGTTCATGTGAAATCCTACCATTGGGGTAGTCATCGAACCAACTTGTAGAAACATACCCTCGATGTAAACGTTCCATAATTAAATCTTCTCCAAGTCTTTTATTACTCCAAGTGAAGCGAGGACCCGAGAACGGAACCTCATATAAGGTATTTTCCAATCTCCAATCCACAAAAGCTTCAATTCCTCTAATACTATTACTACCACCCAATTTATCCTCTAAAAATTCTAATTGATTGAAATCACCTAAAAAAAGGCATTTAGGAAAATTATGAACAATATAAGAGAGTTCAACCCAAACTAGGGACCTATCTTCAAGAGAAGGGACACCGTAAACAAAAGCTACATACTTATTGATATCATTACGAAAATCAACTATCTTACAAAGGATAATGTTTTGAGAGGAAAAAAGACAAGTCATTAAAGAGCTTGTCCAAGCAAAAACCATAAGACCACCTTAGCACCTATAGCATCACAACCAAAAGAGGTGGAGGGTGTTAAAAACATCTAAGATAGGCCTAGCCACATCAACAACTAATTTAGTTTCGGAAAGGAATAAAAACATAGGTTTAAAATTAGAGACGAGCCACATTAGGTACGATCATGTAGGGGCTTGTGGGTCATTAAGGCCCCAACAATTCCAAGCAACACACTTCATAAACCACTCGGGGGCTGAGACGATGCAGCCACCTCATCCAACATAATCAGATCCGAACACACAAGTTGCTGATTTGCCTCCCAGTCCATACCAACAGCAGCGCTAGAAAGGTTTTGAGAGAAAATGGGCCTCCTTAGCCTCAAAGCACTTGAGCCCGTGGATTCAATAGAGGGAGACCTTCTTCTTTTCTTAACTTTTTCCAAAATGTCTGTATCTACTTGAACGCTCCAAATACGAGCCATATCTTCATCAGTAATCACCTTTGAAACCAAATCTTTCGAGCCATTAAAATTTTCCTTCCAGAAATTAAAACCCCCTTTATCCGACCACTTGTTAAGGGTTGCAAAACGCCTCCTTTCGCCCCAACTCAGATCAAAATAACTTTCACGAAAGTCACAGCCACCATCAGAAACCGCAAGCTCACCATCCCTGTCCTTGCGCTTTTTCTTTGATTGAGCAGATAGAAGAGTTGGCGAATTAAATAATTCGTCAATGTTAATTGTTGCCACAGGTGTTTCCGAAGAATTGGGAGGGTCGAACTCCGTCAAAGGAAGGTTCGACAGTTCCCCTCCAAAAGTCGATGGAGAATATGGAAGAAAGGGTCGCACCGATGCACGTTGATATGGGTGAACCTTCGAACCTGAGAGCCGCAAGGAACGAGCGAGAGCTCTTCCTGCTTGAATGAAACACCTGTGGCAAGGATTGGCTGCATGAATGTTGAATAGCAAAAGGAGATGAAGATGAAAAGACACTCGAATGCCAAGGATACAGTTATGCAAATAAGCTCATGTGCGACGTTCAAATTATTGAATCAACACGATTCAAAACCAAAATAAAGTTATTGAGAAACTCATAAAAGATAGCATAGTATATAACTATTGTTTGGGTCCAATTTAGTCAAAATTGGGCCTGAGCACTAAATGATCCAATTAAAAGCCCAAGGTCAAGGTTCAACTCTCCAATTGCTCAAAAGTCAAAGGTCAGCCCACAAAGTAAGCCAATTGGGCTAAAGCCCAACCTCTCCAT